GTGCCGCCGGGTCGGCCCCCCCCCCCCCGCCCCCCCCGCCGCCCCCCGCCCCCCCCCCCCCCCCCCCCCCCCCCCCCCCCCCCCCCCCCCCCCCCCCCCCCCCCACGTTTTTGTTTTTAAGAGACAAGAAAAAGTTACACCGGAATGTTTGAGTGGAGCTGGAAAAGACAAAAAAAGGCCGATTTCTAGAAGGGACATCTATCGGGAGGGGATGGCGGGGGGCTTGGTTGCTGGGAGTGGTGGGTTCTTTTACTATCAACCATGTCGACGACCTTGTTCCTGATATACATTGAAAGTTCTGACCTCGGTGGAAGGACCAACTTTTGTACAAATGGACGGATATGTGCAGTAAGGCGGGATTTGAATGGTGGTGCATAGCGCAGGGAGTGTAAATGGTATACCTGGCTTCATTCGTCGAACCCCGGACTTATTCCTAGAGTTTATTGTATCTTCCTTTTACTTATTACTACTATTACTACTACAACACTTGTTACGCTCCACGTTCCACTCCGAATTATTTATTTATTTATTTACCTCTTGTTTCTCGTTGGCTATTTTTCCTTCGTGTTTGTCATAAATCTATTCCGGTCGTTTCTGTTGAATATTTATCCAACTGCTACAGTTTGTAAGGGCGTCGTCTATTTTGCATGCATTTTGGACAAGTAAGGTGTAAGTTCCTGAGGTGTGGATGTCTAGGCCTTTGTTGTCCTTTACACGCATCAAGGCTCAGTTAAGATGTGAGACGGCCAGCTTACGATACGAGATTAAAGAGGGTGTCACGCAACAAAGAAAACTAGGAATGAAGGGATGTGACTAGTGTTAGATGTCTATTATATATAATGTGTATAGACAACTAGACTAGTAGCAAATAGCTAGCCCGTGTATATGGTATGGTGCCAAAGAGACCTGACTTTCTAATAGTAAAATGCCAAGTATATATGCTTGTTGGTCTACTTCTTACAGATGCTCTAGCTATATTTTGCCCCAATGCGACAGACTCATGTTGTAAGTAACGTAAGTAGTCGGCTTATTTGATTTGCGTGACCACTCGTATGAGCAACTGCTGTAGCTGTCTTTATCGAAAGCGTCACATGAGTCCGGCCGCAGCACCATCGTATCTTTGCCATTACCCCTAGTGTCTGCCTGGCCCAGCTTAGCTAGAATTTCCGGCACGTTGATCCATATTCGATCCGCCACGAATTCCACGTCCACTTGCTCCTCCGCGACCGCGCGGACGCCCTCTACCACCGCGACTGTCTAGTCCGGCCGGCGGAGGGACAGCATTATATGACTGCTGCGGAGCAAACCCATTCGTGTTATTAGGGCTATTCGAAGCGCCTCTGCCACCACGGTTGCCACGTCCACCTCGATTCGAGCCGCCGCGACCACGTGTGGGATAACCACCGGTTTGTTGCGCTGATCCTAAGGTACCCACTTGCGATGGATTGTTGTTAGGTATAGCCTGGTAGACCGAGCTGCTATGTTGCAGTCGAGGAGCCCCGTTAGGTTTCTGGTGAGCTTGGCCACCACCACGCGCTTGCCCTGGCTGTCGATTAAACCCGTTTAAGGCGCCGCGCCACGTCCCACGAAGGGGGCCTGGTGCCGGCGCATCTCGAAGTTGGCTACCTGGACCTCCGGGTGCACCGTACCCCCGCGTATGAAGAGGTAGCGTTGTCTGCGTCGGTCGCTTTTCTAGGCTCATCTTTGAGTTTGCAATTACTTGCTTGTTAGTAATATTGAGCACTGAGTTGGCTGGTACAGTCTGTCCCCGGAAAGGATCACAGCGACCGCCCAGGGTTGTCCCGTTCATGAACGCGTTGTCGCAGAGTATGTCGAGCATGTGGTGGTTTCCAACAGTAGTGATGCCGACAACTGTGCCTCTTGAAGCAATGGGTACCTTTCCAGACGCTTGTACGTAGACGACCCGGTCGCCCAAACTGAATTTCTGATTACCCAGTCGTTGCGCAGCATCCTTCGGGTTAAGCAATGCGGACCGGGGGACACCCTTAAGTTTCTTAGGTTCGTGTTTTTCGTTGGCTTCCCTAAGCGAATCGACCGCATTCTGAAGCTGCATTACCACTTCGGAGTCCAGCTGTTCGGCATCGAGAGGAACTCGCTCGAACTTACTGGTCTCCACGGTTTTCAGCCATGCGCCAATCTCCTTAATCCTAGCGCTGGCAACATTGCTGTCCGGCCAGAGTTGAGTATCATTGAGTTCACTCCCTGACGGGTTCTGCATCACAGCAGCGAAAAAGTCAGGGAAACGAGTCATGTATTCTACGAGCAATTGAATCGCAGTAGGACTGAATTCCCATCCCGAATTCGATTTCCTCGAGTACCCCAACACTTTCTGCTTCCTTCCTTCGAATTTAAGATTTAATCCAAGATTAACCTTCATGCTGCCGCCAATCGTATAAACAAAGAATGATGAGGTAATCTTGCTTAAGACAAGCGGGTGAAGCCCCAAGTCTTTGGCAACGGCATAAGATGGACGGTAGCTGCTTTGCTGCTCGGCACGGCGGATAATCTGCTGCGTAAAGTTTGGCTCTTTCACGGATGGTATAGATACCATTATTTCGGCTTGGTTGTTGGTATGACTCGATATTTGAAGGGGACGCCCATAGGCATATTCCCCGAGGAAGAAAGAGCGGGATCCGACAGGGAACTCTTCCTCGAATGGTATTGCGGCCCTTTCGATGAACCGTTCATCCTCGCTTACAACCTCATCGACGATGGTCTGTGCCGCATAATCCGTCTCCATGCCCGGGATCGGACCGTATTCTTTAATGGTCGCACCCTCATCTGTCTTAATGAGACCCTTCAACATTTCGACATGGACCATAGACTCAACGGGGCCAATGATGATACCTAGTCGGCTACTGTAGAAGTTCTCAATACGTGAGGCTTTTCTATTCCACTCGTCAATCTCCCTTCCAGAATGGGGAGTTTGTATCGCTTGACCGGAACCATCGGGAGCCAACGAATAGTCGAATAGCTCGTCTGATACACGTGTGATCTTGGCCTCCTGCAGGAAGGGGTAGCCGACATGGCATTTTTGCCCCAGCTTGACTTTCGCAGACTCGACTCCACTTCGGAGCTCTACGTCAGCTAGAGTAACAACCATACTCTCGTTTCGACTTTCCTGCTGGAAGACATTGACTCCGTGGAAGCCTAGGGCAGCATTGTAAGGTAGCGTAGCAAGACTAGGAAATCCTGCTAACGCGTCCACACCGACCTTCGTACCATCGAGGAGGCCAACATACAAATCTAGCCCTTCTGTTGTAGGTAGATCGAATATATTTTCGACACAATGGCAATGGGGAATGTCTGGAAAAATTCCGACCATGGACGAAGGGTAGATGAAGTCAATGTTAGGATCGTATGTGAACTTCATTGAAACACCAAAACCATTTCGGGCCTTTTCCTCTGGTGTAAGAAGCTCATTTTTAGGTGCCATTGCGGACAAAAGCCGCTTTTCGTCGATGAAAGGGATTTTAACAACTGCCTCCCATTCCATTTTCTTGCCATTCATGTCCAGCTCGAAATCCCTCGGATAGAAATCGATAATTGGTGATTTCGGATCTGTCATGAGCTCGTGATATACCGAAGGAACAATCTTCTTGCTTCGGTCAGGGAGAACACCCATGAGCTGTTCGAACGGACGGAAGGGCTGGCCGAGTTTGAATGTTAGATCGGCATTCATGCCCTTAATAATGTCTAGATTTTCCAAAGATTAGCGTTTTTATTCGTTCTGACATCGAGGTCGCCGGGTCTTACCAGACGTCATGGGAGAGTAGTGATAAGCATAGAACCATGGCCAAGAAGCTACCCCTTTGTAGTAGTAATACAGCACCCACTGTAAGCCTTGAACGTAATTTTCACAAAGCTTCTTCAGTTCCGTCTCCTTAACCTCCGGGGACCATTCGAATTTGCTTGTATAGTATTTGTCTTTCCATTCCATGAATTTTTTTTCATACTTTGCCTGCGCAGCCGCCTGGGCTTCTTCAGCTGAGGAGTCTACTATCTGAGCCTTGTCATAACGCTTCACGACACGAAGCAAGGCCATATGACCCTCTTCCTCTTCTTCATCATTTTCATCAGCATCTGGATTCGTGGGGATTGAGAGGACTAGATTGCGTCGTCCATCATCGTCTTCAATGGTGCGCAATTGCACATGAAGACTATCAGCGGCCTCCTGTACAAATTTTCGATCGGCGGCAGCAAGCTTGTGACCAAGGTCCAGGGGCGCAGGCGACCGCGTATTTATGAAGTTCCGAATTTTCCTCCATAGTTCGTTCTGTGAGCTGGTGATGACAAGCGTTCCTTTCGTCTTGGCTGGTGCGTCGCCGTTGGCTTCTACTGCTTGTTTACCTTTGAGCCACCTGGAATCGGCGTACTCGTGCTCGAAATATCTATTTTCTTCCTTGGACAGTTCCTCTAGCAACAGCCCCAGACGGGGGAGGTTGATGACTCCACCTTCGTTGATGTAACCGTCGCATCGCGGAAGAACCTGTTTGTAAATACGAAACATAGTTGCAAGGGCTCCTTCATTAATATGAAGATTAGGCAGACTTGGAAGAAAGTCGTTGCCGACGAAGAACGCCATGAGTATGAAATCGTCAATGATTCTCTCCATGTCGAAAGGCACTTTTATGGCGCCTTCCTTTTTCAAGTCCTGGAACTCCAACTCCAGGTATTCCCGAACTATACACAGGTGCATTAAGTAGAAGTTTTGATGCTCTAGCTCCTTTGATTTTGTCTTTGAGGCACGGCCGAAGGTAACCTCTTCTCGAAGTAGGCAGAAATGCGGATCATGACTCAACAAGCCCAACATGATAAGATCAGCATCCAGGCCATATAAACAATGACGGACATTGGGGTGGTAATCGGGTTGAGCTTTCGCGTTCCTGATGTACTCCATGATCTTATGCTCTCCTTCGCCAGGAACTTCGTGGCCTGACAGAACGACATCGCAGACCTGCCAGTCGGAATCCTCGGATATCTTTTTGTTGATAAAATACTTGAGCTGCTCGGTTAACTTAGCCATGAACTCGGTTCCTGGTGTAATACAGTTACTGTCAAAGGGGTCCTCCTTTGGCAATGCTTGGCCTTCCCGTATTGCTTTCTCGCGAGCCTGTTCGGCGTCTAAGGCAGTTCGGAAACGACGAGCTCTCTGTTGGTTCATCTTCGCCCTGGGGGCCACCCCGTCAATGGCCATGAAAAATAGCTTCTTGGGCTTTATCTTGCCAAACAAGTGCTCGATATAGTTAAATATACGGATAAACATTTCATCTTCACTAAGACGGAATGAGGTATCGTGAGTGTCTTTGTGGGTACAATTGTGTATGATACCGTTCATATCCAGCTATGCAGGTCAGCGAGCGACATCGGGAAGGGAAGGCATCAACAGGTTGCCGCACATAAAGGTTATCGAATTCAGGGATACGATTCTCTGCAATGAGCTGGGATATCGCAGGATATCGCTCCGAGAGCCATCTAAAGAACTTGGGTACACTACGCTAGGGTTAATACCGCTCGTCAAGACATGATCTGGAGAACAGTTTAGACGTACCCCATCCTGACCTCGCTTGTTCAGTGGGAAGCTGATGGAAGAAGAAGAAGAAAAAGAATAATAAAAAAGGTATGAAATGTGTACGACGTCGAACGACTGACGTATTATGCGACAAATTTTGTCTAACTAAAACCACGTCCGCGAGGAACTACAATATATCGGTTCGCGACCCGAGGTTCTGCCAGGAACTTTGAAGGAGGGAAGGCAGTTTAGAGGACTAGAAGTTAAGGCGTTATATGGAGGAGACGATGCAAGTAGATGTTTGTCGGGTATCTCCAAGGCCATGCATCTGGGGCGATGCGATAAGCTGGCGTATATGGGTCCGTTGTTGATCTCGGCGGCGACGAAGAGTCATTGCCCGTTTGCAAGGTTTTGGGTGGGTTGTGGTACTGTTGGTGGCACACGGCATTGTGGAGATGGGTCGGTGGGAGCAGCCTTACCTCAAAAATTAAGGTAGGTACATTATGTACCTCAGCATAATGTACCTCAGCCTTAAGGTAGTACGGAATTTACCTAACTTGTATTTCATTGTATTGTACCTAACATAGGTACCGGTACTAACAGGTACACACCTAAGTACCTTGAAGCTAGCACCTGTAGATCCATTACTTTTACTTTACGCGCATCGCGTCCCATCGCGAAATTCCTTCCTAACATTTAGCACATATTCTCTACTCACCTCTCGATATCTTAACACCCCGTAATCGGTTCTCTGAATAAGGCTAATTCAATATGGCTCCAGGCCCTGTTGTTGAAGATGTTGAAGGTTGGCATTTTCATTTCGCTCTCTCGCATTCATTTTATTTTGGGACTATCTACTGACTTTGATGGAAGTGGACATGACCCCGGATTATGAGGAAGACGAGGAGCAGAGACTTATCAATGAAGGTATGCAACTTTTTATTTCTTTCTTTTCTAGTGGTAACAAGTGTGTTTCTCACGATTACTAGAGTACAAGACGTGGAAAAAAAACTCGCCATTTCTTTATGATATGATCCTGAGGTGAGCTTTTGCATCGGAGCAACTAATCGACCCTTTCTACTAACAATTTTTAGCACCGCCCTCACATGGCCAACCCTTACGGTTCAATGGTTCCCCGATGTCAAGGAGCCCGAGGGAAAGAACTGTCGTATTCACCGAGTTCTCATTGGAACCCATACCTCTGAGGGCAAGCCGAATCATCTTCAGATTGCCCAGGTCGAGATACCCAAGTCGGTTCGTCCTAATGCAAACGAGTACGATGACGAACGGGGTGAAATCGGCGGTTACGGCAAGTCTCCGTCTGCCGATGCTACTACGGCTATGAAATGGAGTATTGTTCAGAAGATCGACCATCCTGGCGAGGTCAACAAGGCTCGTTACTGCCCTCAGAATCCCGATCTGATCGCAACGCTGGCTGTCGACGGCAGAATCCTCATCTTCGATAGAACTAAGCACAGCTTCGAACCGAATGGCAAGGTCAATCCTCAAATTAGCCTTGAAGGCCATAAGCAAGAGGGATTTGGGCTTAATTGGAACCCTCATTCCGAAGGCGCTTTAGCATCAGGAAGCGAGGATCAAACTGTTTGTCTTTGGTACGTTTCCGAGCTAACAATATACTGTAGACGATTATCAGATTGTGCTAATAGCATGCGACAGGGACCTCAAGTCACTGCAGAGTGGCAGCACGACACTTGGTCCTTCTCGTCGCTTCACTCACCATACTAACATCGTGAACGACGTTCAATATCACCCTATATCCAAAAATTTCATCGGCAGTGTCTCTGATGATTTAACTCTGCAAATCCTGGACGTGAGACAACCATCTAACACTCAATCCTCTTTGGTTGCCAAAGATGGTCATAGCGACGCCATTAACTCGTTAGCATTTAACCCGTCAACCGAAGTTCTCGTGGCAACCGCTTCCGCTGATAAGACCATCGGGATTTGGGATCTTCGTAACGTAAAGGAAAAGGTTCACACTCTAGAAGGCCACCAAGATGCGGTCACATCCCTTTCTTGGCATCCCCACGAGGCAGGCATTCTTGGCAGTGCTAGTTATGACCGACGTATTATCTTCTGGGATCTTAGCAGGATTGGCGAGGAACAGCAACCGGATGACCAAGAAGATGGCCCCCCTGAACTGTGGGTGTTTTCTTTCCCTTCAGAGCATTGATATTATACGGGGAGATGTGAGCTAATAGTTTGTAGCCTGTTCATGCACGGCGGCCACACTAATCATCTTGCCGATTTTAGCTGGAATCTAAACGACCCCTGGCTTGTGGCGAGTGCTGCCGAGGACAATATGCTCCAGATTTGGAAAGTTGCAGATTCTATCGTTGGAAAAGATGAAGCCGATCTTCCACTTGATGAACTTGGCAGGTGAACGAGGCAGGTGTGATTGGGAGGCTACGAGTCGAACCTTGCTACTTAGAACCTGGCGAGTCTGCAGGGCCTAATGAATGTGAAAGAAGAGGCGCATATCTACACGACCGTTTAGATCGTTGGTAAACTGGAGAACGTCAGTAGTAACTACTACTATTCATCACTCATTTAACTAACTTTCCCAACAGCTTGGCTATACGGCTGGGTTTAAACCGACGAAGGATTTCAGGGGAGCGAACGTTATGAAACTTTTTTTTTTTTAATAATTATATTAAACCAGTCAATCGAGTGCTTCTGTTCGGTTGCACAAGTCGGACAATTAGTTGTTTTTTACATCGGTGCATACGGATTATGATCGTTACTAGGCGCTCAATAATCCAATCAGACAGAATACCTATCAAATAACCGCGCCGAATGATCTACATAGTACCTACATAAGGTAGGAGGTACCTAGTGGCTCACGTAGGTATGTTTTAGCTAGACAATTACCTAGGTAGACTTTGGCTTTACACATACATACCTACCTAACCTTAGGTACCTAAGGCACCTAATCTAATAAGGTTACCTGCGTTCCTTTGTGCCACATACCTATGTGAAGCATCTGGTACATAAGTACTACCTATGTACATCATACGTAATACACCTGGAGGTACTGTCTTAGGTAACTGTTACGCATTTAATGCATGTACAATACATAAGTGGGTACCCCTTGCTATGTAGGCTAAGGCCGGCTACCTATCAATGTTGCCTCAGTGCAATGAGCCACCTTTATGAAAGTTCAAACATTTGACATTTGGCCGATTTCTAGATTTTGACAATCCTCATACAACTAAATCATAACCGTATTTCCGCTCGCTCTCCTACTTTTCGACTTCGACTTCGACCTTCAAGACCGTCATGCCTCAAATTTGCTAAGGAGTCTATAATTTTAAAGGCGTCATCGTATATTATTACGCGCACGCTGGGGTGATTCGAAAGCCACTTTGCCGGCTGCCACAGTAAGATCCTACATAGGTATCCGCATGTTGACTTTGTGTTGTCCATTACTGCGAACGCCATTAGCTGGGTCCCGTATTTTTTAAGTAGCTCCTTTTAGGAGCATGATCCCAATACGGGAATGCCGCCCTTAACTTCATACCGCCCGACCGAGCCGCCCGATTCTCCAGTGAACGACTCAGATTCAGATGTCGACCTAGACTTACAAGAATTAGACCCTGCTACCTCGTCGCATGCCCAGGCCTCTCGACTTCTTGGACATAACCGCGGTTCTGAACAACGAGCGCCGCGGATTGCATTGAGAAATATTCGCATGGGCGGTCTGAGACGGGTTGGGAATCGAAGTCGCGGCTATGGCGAGCTTGGCCGCAGTAGGGATGGGAACGCTGACGCTGCGGGCTTGTTGGAGGATGATGGGCACGGACAACGCTACTCGGATGGAAGCCGCCATGCCGGCGACGAGGCCCCCCTTCTAGACGAATACGCGCCTCGTCCCCAGAGACGGTCTTTCACCAGTAATAGACTCCACAGCCTGGCTCATCTCAGCTCGTCTTTCAGGCTGCCTAGCTTCATGTCAAGTACTAGCTCGAATCGACATGACGATGATACGGTTCTTGATAATAGACAAGACGATTCCTCGACGTCGAGAATCGTTGCTGTTGGCTCCCCTCAATCTATACGTTACCCACCGAATCTCGTCTCGAATGCGAAGTACACAGCGCTCACATTCCTTCCTATCACTCTCTATAACGAGTTTTCTTTCTTTTTTAACATGTATTTTCTTCTGGTTGCTCTATCACAGGCTATTTCAGCCCTGAGGATAGGCTATCTATCTACATATATTGCCCCGCTTGCATTCGTTCTTGTCATTACAATGGGGAAGGAGGCGTATGATGATATAGAGCGCCGCCGCAGAGACAACGAGGCGAACTCAGAAGAATATATTGTCCTGCAATTCAGGGAGCCAGGCCATGAGAATACAGCTTCGCATCGTTCCCGGATTTCTAAGTCAGCGTTGTCACGGAAAGTCGGTCGCCAACCACTAGCCCAGAGGGACAGATTGTCAGATATTCAGGAAGAAGAAGAGCAAGCCGAAGGTCAAGGCCTAGGCCATCCCTCATCCTTTGTTCAGGAGGTTAGCAAGAAATCCCGGGATCTCAAGGTCGGTGATGTCCTCAAGCTCAGCAAAGGCCAGCGCGTTCCTGCTGATGTTGTCATCTTGAAATGTTCCACGTTAGAGAGCCCACAGGCCCAGGCCCAGGATCATGAAGACGCCGGATCGGAGTCAATGCTGGTTAACCCTTTTGAGGCCGATGAAGATCAGAGCAATGCTTCTCGCAGGAATGGGAAGAGCCCTGAATTTGTTGGTTCTGATTCCTCTGAAGGTACGTCTTCTGGAGAAACATTTATTAGAACAGATCAACTCGATGGCGAAACGGACTGGAAACTTCGCCTTGCATCCGTTCTAACTCAGAGTTTGCCCGTTGAGGAATTTGTTCGCGTTAGGGTAATGGGCGGAAAACCGGATAAAAAGGTCAACGAATTTGTTGGCAAGGTTGAACTAATGGCAACAAAACGCGACGCCTTGAACATACAGTCTGTTGAGAGCAGTATGACCGATAGGGGCCATTCTGCTGCTTTGTCGATTGATAATACTGCTTGGGCGAATACTATAATCGCTTCCCAAGCGACCACTATGGCCGTCATCGTTTACACCGGACCGCAAACTCGGTCGGCACTTTCGACCTCATTGTCACGATCCAAGACGGGTTTGCTAGAATACGAGATCAACTCTCTAACAAAGATACTTTGTGCGCTTACATTGGCACTGTCCGTTATTCTCGTGGCCTTGGAAGGATTTAGCAATACCGAAGGGAATATCTGGTACGTGAAGATTATGCGATTTCTGGTATTATTTTCTACCATTGTCCCGATTAGTCTAAGGGTCAACCTTGACATGGGAAAGAGTGTTTATTCGTGGTTTATTCAACGAGATCCTGGTATTCCGGGCGCGGTAGTCCGGACTAGCACGATCCCAGAGGATTTGGGGCGTATCGAATACTTGCTCAGTGACAAGACGGGTACTTTAACTCAAAATGAGATGGAAATGAAAAAGATTCACGTGGGCACTGTGTCTTACGCCAATGAAGCAATGGACGAAGTGGCGGCTTACGTCAGACACGGCTTCGTTGGGACCCCGAACGACAATGCACTTGTTACCCCGTCGTCGTCTTACAATATGACGGCAGGTGTCACTGCGACCAGAACACGGCGGGAGATCGGGTCCAGGGTCCGGGATGTTGTTCTGGCTCTGGCTCTTTGTCACAATGTGACTCCTACCGTTGAAGAAGAAAATGGACGAATAACCACTTCATATCAAGCTTCCTCTCCGGACGAAATAGCTATTGTACGATGGACCGAATCCGTTGGTCTCCGCCTCGCACATCGAGACCGCAAGAAGATGGTCCTTGAGTCAACCGAGACCGGGAAAGTTGTCGTGCAGGTTCAGATTCTGGATATATTCCCCTTTACTTCGGACGGCAAGCGTATGGGTATAATTGTTCGATTTCAAGAGCACTTGCAACCTTCTAGGTCAAGCTTGGATAATGGAGAGATATGGTTCTACCAGAAGGGTGCTGACACGGTGATGGGATCCATTGTGGCTGCAAACGACTGGTTAGATGAAGAGACGGCGAACATGGCCCGAGAAGGCCTAAGGACTTTGGTGGTTGGACGAAAAAGACTGTCTGTAGGACAGTACCGGGACTTTTCGACCAGCTACCAGGAAGCTTCTTTGTCGATCAGTGGCCGTGACGCAGCAATGCAACGTGCGGTCACGGAATTCCTTGAGAGGGATCTCGAGCTCTTGGGAGTTACCGGCGTTGAGGACAAGCTCCAGAGAGATGTAAAGCCATCTCTGGAGTTACTTCGAAACGCCGGTATCAAGATATGGATGTTAACGGGTGACAAAGTCGAAACGGCGAGGTGTGTTGCTGTCAGTTCTAAACTTGTCGCAAGGGGTCAATATATATACACTGTCGCCAAACTAAAGCATAAGGACAATGCACAAGATCATCTCGACTTTCTCAGAAGCAAGACTGACGCATGTCTACTCATCGACGGCGAGAGCTTGATGCTTTATCTAACGCACTTTAGGGTCGATTTTATTTCAGTGGCCGTACGGTTGCCGACAGTCGTTGCTTGCAGGTGCTCACCCACGCAGAAGGCGGACATTGCGAAACTCATCAAAGAGTTCACTAAAAAGCGAGTTTGTTGCATTGGTGATGGTGGGAACGATGTCTCTATGATCCAAGCCGCGGACGTGGGGGTTGGTATCGTTGGTAAGGAAGGTCGACAGGCCAGTCTTGCAGCCGACTTCTCTATCGAGCAATTCTGCCACCTTACTAAATTGCTGGTATGGCACGGTCGAAACAGCTACAAGCGCAGCGCCAAGCTCGCTCAATTTGTCATCCATCGTGGACTTATAATCGCCGTTTGTCAGACCATGTACAGCATTGCAATCAAGTTTGAACCAGAGGGTTTGTATAAGGTTTGTTGCCATTGTCCCCTTTTACTCCATGGCCTCGTCTCACAGTCTGCAGGATTGGCTTCTCGTAGGATATGCCACTGTTTACACGGCAGCGCCAGTGCTTTCCCTCGTTCTGGACAAAGATGTCGACGAGAACCTTGCAAACCTATACCCCGAGCTCTACAAAGAACTTACGTCTGGCCGTTCCTTATCTTACCGTACCTTTTTCGTCTGGGTCTTCGTGTCAATATACCAGGGCGGTATGATTCAGGGCCTTTCCCAAATTCTCACCGAAGTCGATGGTCCAAGGATGGTGGCTGTTAGTTACACCGTCCTCATCCTAAACGAACTCCTAATGGTGACGATTGAAATCACAACCTGGCACCCAGTCATGATCATGTGCATCGTTGGGACATTTCTTTTCTATGTCGGATCGATGCCGTTTCTAGGCGGATATTTTGATCTTGACTTTCTTCTCAGTTGGTGAGTAATCGCTCTTCCTATCAGCATTGCTGGGGCTGTTGGCTTACCTGTGTTATGATAGGGGTTTTCTCTGGCGTGTATTGGCCATCGGTTCAATCTCTTTGATACCGCCGTACGCCGGGAAGCTGATTAGGAGGACCATGAAACCACCCTCATATAGAAAGGTACAGGGCATATGAGAATGTGTCTACGGAAACCAAAGTGCATTCGTTAGGCGTTTGGGGGGCTCCGGGTTTATTGTTATTGTTATTTTTATTATTTATTATTTTTCTTTCCTACGTGTGATCATAGTAAGCTTCAACGTGCATAGAATTGCTTTGCAATGAGTTTCAAATATGTGTTTAGAGAATAGCTAACCCAATGTTACCCCTCCTCTTTTTTTTTTTTTTTTTTTTTTTTTTTTTTTTTTTTTTTTTTTTTTTTTTTTTTTTTTTTTTATTGTGTTTGTTGGTAGTGGAGGAT